TGGCGCACTTTGGGGGTCATTTTAAAGCCCTACTTCATCCCCCACACCCGCAAAATACAAAAACTTGCTCTATTAAGGGAGCTCTCAAAAACCTAACTCCTTAAGGGTCCCTCTACCATCCAAGGTAAGTTCTAATGGTCATTCTAAATTAATTTCAATTTATCAACATATTATTAATATGGGTAAACCCTCCATATTATTAAATATTCGATTGCGACATCATTGTTGAGAGAAGGAACCCTAGAACTCGAATTCAAGGGGATTGAACCTCAAAAAGGTAATGTTTAGAACTCGAATTCAGGGGGATTGAACTTCAAAAAGGTAATGTTTTCACCCTCAAATTAATTCTAGCATTGGATTAATAATTATAGACTCTAGTTCATGAGATATGAGTTGATGGGTTTGATAGAAAAGCATGAACAGTTATAGGTTTGAGTTGTTGATTGTTGATTATCGGTTAAGGGTGTTGTTTACCTTATGGGTGATAAAGAATGATGTTGATTATAACCATTTGAGACTTTAGAATTTATCTAGGATCAATAGAATGGGTTATTGGGTGTAGAGACACCATTAATAACGACTATAAAGATTTATTCTCACGAAGTGTTTGATAAAATGCTTAAGTGACCAGAACATGAGTATCATAGCTAATATAGAATCCCTTTTGACTTGTATTGCTATAGATTAAATTTGAAAGGATTGATAAACATTGTATTACGCTCAAGAGCAGGAAGTTAAGGTATGTGAGACTAACTCTCTATGTTTGGGAATATTAATGATTCTTCCTACACTACATTTTTTTACGACATTACTAATTGTCTTAGAAATATAGTTAAGCCTAGTTCCTTGAATAGTTGCAGAAATTCTATTCTCTAGCTTCGTAACTCAATCATGACTTTCATTCTGAATGTTGTGAAATCAGTGCGTAATCAATATAGACTTGGGTTTTGATGCCCATGAGTCTCAGTCTAGATTACTCAGTATGTCATAAACAGTTGAAGTTTCAATTTTCATAATCAGTTCATGAATACATGTCTTAGTCTAGCTCTATTCAGCATTCAAGTACCATGTACCTTAGTATGGTTCAGTATTTCAGCATCATGTATTTCAGTATGATTCTCAATTCCTGAATATTGAACACATGTATTTGGGCCTGAGACCATAGTTTATATGCTTTATGGATACTTGGGCCTGAGGCCGTAGTTTATGCTTTATGCATGTTTGGGCTTGAGGCCGTAGTTTTACGCTTTATGCATTTTTGGGCATGAGTCCGTAATTATGTATACGTAACTTGGTCCTGAGGCCGTAGCTTGTGCACATATATATTAGGCCCGAGGCCGTAGCTTATTCAGATAAGCAAGTTGTTCATTATTCAGAAGAGGGAGTATTCATATCATTACTTCCTTTGTTCAGTTCAATTATTAGTTATCATTTCAGTTACGCGTTATCAAATATCAGTTATCATTTCAGTTTCTGTTTCAATAGTTATCATTTCAGTTATCAATTATCAATTATCAATTCTCAGTTATCATCTTAGTTTCAGTTTCAACATTTATAATCTTTCTTTCAGTTGCTTTACATACCAGTGCAATTCAAATGTACTGTCGTCCCTTTTGCCCGGGGCCTGCATCTCAGGATGCAGGTAATGATTTACAGGTTGATGATTCAGAGTGCTAGGATTCTCGTACCAGCTATTTGGTGATCCCCAGTTCTTTCGGGGCATTATCATTACTTTACAGTCTTTCAGTATTTACAAACAATCAGTGTTTTCAGTACTTCATTAGAGGCTTCATAAACTAGATTAACAGTTAGATAGAGTCACATGCATTTCATGTTTTTCAATGTTAGCTACAAATATATTTCAGAATTGTATTAGTATTTTTGCGCAATGATTTATATCATTCAGACTTTTAATAAATCATCGTGTGTTAGTTTATCTTCCGCATTTAGTATGTTATAATATCACATGTTGATTCAGCTAACCAATTGGTTCGCTTGGTCACATGTAGTCAGGCACCGAGTGCCGTGTTACGTCCAGGCCCAAGTGCGGGGCGTGACAACTTTAATAGGAAAAAAAAGAAAGGAAGCAAACATTGGATTTTTTCGATTGATGGTGGTAATTCAACCGAATTATCATCATCAGAGAGGTAACAAGAATAATCGGGGCTAAATCTGGATTGCAAACGCATCCTCCTCCTCCTGGTAAACTGCAAAAGCATTTTGGCCCCATCTTCGGTGTTACAGATCCTCCCTCCTTTCCAACTTTTGATTCCGCCATTTGGAACTTTATGGCATTTGGGTTTAGTTTTTAGTGATTAGTTTTGGCTTTTGGGTTTAGTTTTTAGTAGACCAAATCAGTGATGATTATAAGGCCGTTTGGATGGACTTAAAAAATGTGGCAGCAGAAATAGCTTTTAACTCAACTAATTTATTGTTTTTGGCTTGTTGTAAGCAGTTTTTAATTTATTTTAAACACTTTTTAATTTTGTCAAACAGCTAAAAACAAGAGCTTGAAAGTTAATTTGACCAGCTTAAAAGCCAATCCAAACACCCTCTAGGTTTCGTCTAATTAATAAGCCCACCTCTCTTACAACTTATTTGGATGGTATTATGTATGTTTCACAATGTATTGAATTGTATTGTATCGTACTGTATCGTTTTGATATATCGATGCTCGAATCAATAATATTGTTTGTTGTTGTTTCATGATGTTATACACCAACAATATGAAAAATAAACTTGTAATATTATTAAAAAAGGTGAGATACGAGAGAGAATTATTATATAAAAAGGTAGGATAAAAGATAAAAAAAAAAGATTATTTAATAATAAGGAATGACAAGTTGAGAGAAAATAGATAAGATAACGATGCAATTCCACCAAATCGGTCGTTACATAAAGTGAAATTTCTTATCATTACGTAACAACGAATTTAATGATACAATACAATAAAATTTAAGTAACAATCAAAATAATTATATTCTTTTCTCGGTTCACATTGTTTCATATTATCTTTAGTTATTAACATTTCTTTTGATATAGTTTATTTGTATATCTATGATCTGTGATTTTTCTTCAAATGAACGAGAAAGAAAGGTTGTGGGGAAGGGATGAAAATGGGAGTATAATGGTGAGGTGGCAATGAAATATTGTCATAGGGAGGCAGTTAACGGAGAAAAGGCAAGTTTGTACCACTTTTATAATGTTAAAGATATATTTGGACCGATAGTATGACGTTACAAATATATTTGGACTGATAGTATAACGGAGGGCAATATTAGACCTTTTTCACTGGTATAGGTGCATATTTGACCCTTTTCCCATAAGAAAAAGAAGGTTAAGGAAGAGCATATAAACGTGAAGTTTTTTGGTACTACGATTTGGCTCGCAATGGCCGACACTGGATCTTCTTCGCTGGAGAAGAAGCAAAATTCTGCAGAAGAACAAATTGCCTGGAAGAGGGAACTGCCACGAAAGTATTTGGCTGATGAGGATCTATGGAATGACGACGATTTTATGCCCAAAGGCGCTTCAATGGAGCATCGTGATCTATTTCGCAAAATTTATTCGAGATACTTCCGTCAGATTTGTGAAACCGATGTTTGTCCTCTTTCACTACTCCTTTTATTATATGTATGCACACACAACACCTGCACGCTAGCACTCGCACCAAGGAACGGTAAAATTGTCTCTGCGTCACCTAGGGTTCGAACCGTGAAAGAAACTACTAATACTTACATTAGGTAGGCTATTTGCGTCACACTCCTAGGATATAACCCTTCTCGGACCCTACGTAAATGTAATATGCTTTGTGCATCGGGCTGCGTGCTTACTGTAAATCTTTTACGCTCAAAAAAGCCAAAAGCTTTTTCTTCTTTTATACAACCAATTTAACCTCCTGAAATCGAAGGAAATAGTTAAAATCTCATGTGAAAATCAAGTCTTAACCCAACAAGGGCAGAGGGAAGGAGGGGGTGCATAGTGGTTTATCCGAATCCCTTTGCCGGAAAATTATGTTGTATATCAGTATATGAAAGTTCAAAGTTATTTTTTATGTTTATATTATAGATGTTCGATCCCTTGGCTTCTTCGACGTTTTTATTTCTTTATATTTTGAATCCTCTCGATGAAAGTCGTGACTCTGTCACTATCAGCAAGAAAACTCTTTTTGACTAGTATAAATATAATAACAAAGAGAATAAGAAAGTTTGAAAAGAACTTGCTTTCATAGTTCAAAAGGGCATTGATTGAGACAAAGAATGATTAGTTACTGCAAAGAGCATGTATTGGTATATTAAGTATGGTTGAGAAAAAATTAAACTTGGACGAAATAGTACCAATACATACTCTTACCAATGCCCTTTTGACCCATTAAGTATGGTGGAGAAAAAAATAGTTGGGTCATAATCCGTTAGTTAAAACATCATAATCCAACCTCTACTAATCCACGGGTTGGGTCATAATCAGTTAGTTAAAACATCATGATCCAACCTCTACTGATCCACGGGTTGGGTCATAATCCGTTAGTTAAACATCATGATCCAACCTCTATTGATCCACGGATTGGGTTATGACATGTTCAATGACCTGACCCGTTTTGATCCATCCACGTTTAACTCATCCCGTCCATTTGGCACAGCTACTCTTAGCTCACTTCTCTGCCCAAAGCCACATTGCCTTCCCCGACTATTTTTCTCTTATCTAATTGCTACAGATGTGCCAAGCTCCGTCCTGTCTGAGCATCTCCAAGCTTTTAGAGACTTAAGTGTGGCACAAAAGATTGTGGGGCTTACTTACAAGTAACTATTTCTTGGTTACCTTTTAAAACAAATATAGGAATTCATGTCTGTTTTAGTGGTGCTTTTAGTTTAAGTGATTCTTCTTCCTTGATTAGTCCCTGCTTCTTTTTAAGCTAATAGACCAAATACTAAAAGAGCATTTTAGCTCCATGCAATTGAAATTCTTCACTTAAATTGAACTTTGAAATTCACTTATTTTAACTTTATCTCTTTGCCTTGTTAAAGGTAGGGATAAGGTCTGCGTACACACTACCCTCCCCAGACTCCACTTGTGGGATTACACTAGGTTTATTGTTGTTGTTAACTTATCTATGTATAAACTAAAATCTGGATAGATATGTGCAATTCAATTAGACCCTATTTTTGTTACGACTTAGATATGAATTCATTCGCAAACCCCACTTGTGGAAATTCATTGGGTTTGTTGTTGTTGTTGTTGTTGGATATGAATTCATGACTGATTGGCTTATTTGACAGGGTTTTGACATTGACATCTATCCCGGTGAAGCTAAGGCAGCTACATATATACCATATCTGGATTTAGAGGAAAAAACTGACATGCTGATGGAACTGGCTAACCATGCTATTCAGGAATACAACAATAAAGAAACCAGTGTACGCCTCTATTCATCTTTTTTTCTTTGGGGTGAATAAACTCCCCTCAACCATAGTGTCCTAACAGTATTTTCTTCATGCCTTGTAGGTTTACAAATACGAGGTTTTGTGTATTGAAAAAGTGAACTTTATTTGGGCCGAATGTCGTGAATTTTTCCTGACTGTCAAAGTTAACAATCTCACTCTGCGTACACCTCTAGAAACCTTCCAAATTCATGCATACAAGGGACCACATGAGGAGAATATTGTCCGCCTTTGCAGACAAAAAGTTCTGAAGTGAGGTAAACAATTTCCTCCCCTCTATTTTTCCTTTTTTCTTTTGGGGGTGG